TAACTAAGTTTTTGGCGCATTTAAAATTAGAAGACACTTAAGTGGGAAGCATTTATCTTTGAATTAGTATATAATTATAATATAGTATTAAATGTAAGAGTGCAATTGGCACTTTTTCTTACAGAAATATTGGACTACTTGGGTCAAAGAATTTGACCCATTATGCCAATAATATTCACAAGAATAAAATTTGTTTAGAAAGTTTCTTTCTATATCTTACATACAAGTTTTCACTAGCATAAAATCTTCTACATTAATCGTGAAGAACTCAATTTAGTTCAGAAGATTGGTTTAAATAAATCTAAGATTAAGAATATCATCAACATGGTCAAAACATTTGGACAAGATTTAGTATGTTAAAATTAATATACTGTATTTTGTAGTACACAAATAGGACGTAGAAGGACTGGCCGCTTAAAGGTCAGCTGGAGGCTAACACTTTTAAAAGAAATTTAAATAACCGAGAAATTCTGACGATTTTTAAAGCCCCCAAGCAGGCATGTGCTTAGATTATTAGAATTTGTTTTATTAAATGAGTATTCGAATCAGGCGAATATATCTAAAGCGGCATTTGGTTCAAATTTTATATAATATTATTATTACTAAGATTTATTAATAGTAAAGAAGCTTAGTATCGTTAAGATAGTGGGCTTTATATCGCAATTTATTACAATATTAAATATATAAATATTTATTACTATTTTATCTATATTGTGATAATTTCAAATGATAAATATTTGTCAATGTATATATATTGCAGTGCGAAAAAAAAAGTTTTTGAAGACTAGTGTAAATGTGTATTAAAGTATGCGTTGAAAATATTTTATGATTAATAGTACAAATACATAGAACTTAATTATAATTTATAAACAAAAAACTAATATTAAATTTCTTTTTTTTTTGGCATTTCCATAGTTAATGTACGTCATGTATGCGATTGCAATTAACACTTAAATGCTAAAAAATTGTAGATGAATGTATTGGGTGAGATGAGAGAAAGAGAGATTTTATTAAACTTTTTTATTTAAAATTATTTAAACTTTTCTATTAAATTGTAAATTAAAGTAGAAACGATTTAAACGATAAAAGTTAATTTAAGGCGGTTAAAAAGGTTGATTTTAAATAACTTTAACTTAAAAGTACATAGCTGACATTAATTTTAGCAGAAAATATCGCTTTTAACCTTTGTGTAAACACTTTAAAAGTAGTTTCAAGGTTTAAGTGCCAGTAAACACAGTAACTTTTAAAGTACTTTTAATTCTTACGCGTAAAAGCTCTTCAAGCTTAATTCTGAAAGATGTATATATATAGTATAAAAATATTTAAGTTTAAGCTTGAAACTTGAATAATAGTGCTTCTGAAGACTCAGCATAAGAGAGCTTGTGAGATTTTGCCATCAAAATATAATATATTCAATTATCTTTAATATATATCTCTTTTCGTCATATACACTAACCACCAACAACTTTTAAAGATACTATAGTCTAATAATGGACGTAGTGTTAAGGAAACTCTATGCTCGGGGCCATATAACTATAACTAGTATAAACTAGCTACCCAAAAATACATACAAAACCCTAAATACGTAGTGTAAGTTTACAGATAACATAGAGCTGAGTGTTACAAAATTAGTAAATTATAAAAATTGATAAGATTAAAATGTAATAAAAAAACATTTAATTAAATTAATTAAATGTTAGCTTTAAAAAAAGAAACTCTTGACCCCTATTTTATAAAGTTATTATAATTAATTAAAACATTGCTGGTGTTCCTGCAGGTTGTTAATGTTAAAGTTCATTTAAAATCATTATTAAATATATATTGATTTATATTGAATTATCTACTATATAAAAATTTATAGATCTCCGACGTGAATATTCTTTATTATTTTCTTAATATGAAACTTCACCACTGTCCGTCGTGATCATTGCACTTTTGATATACAAACATTTTTATTAGTTTAATTTATTTACATGATGAATTTAATTTATTTATTTCGAACGTGTTGAGATTTGCATAGCTTTTCATTAATATAACCAATAATTCCGAGTTAAATTGTCTGGATGAATATTTTAATCTTGAGGTCGAGACCGATAACATTTTACATCTCATGATAAAGCTATTATAGGTTATTGCATTTATTTTTCCAGACTTCAAATTATTATATATATATTTATGTATATATTCATTGACTATAAAAATTAGTATGATTAATACTAACCTTACAGCGATCAAGATACGCTTGTATTTTTTTAAGGGTAGACATTTAGGAACTTTTATTCATATACATTTTAAATTTCTTCAGTTATTATGTTATTATTATTGGTGTTAAGTTATAGACGTGGTTGAAGTGATAAGTCGATCGAGGAGTCTCAACTGATGTATTATTTTCTTGACACATCCGCATACCTAACTGGTTATTTTGTTGTTTATGCGGGTAGTTGGGTTAGACCCAGTGCCAGTGGATAAGGAACCTATAAAATTCGGTAATATGTATTTGTATTAGCTTTCCGATGTTATAGAAAAGTAGTTTATTTAAGATTGGTACCACTCATTTTTAAACAACAGAACCGTAGCATGGGTTAGCTTTTTAGTTCAACATTATGTTTATAAGGCAACAAAGTAGATAGTTAACGCCCATTTTATCATTGGTGGTCTGTTATGTTAATTTTATTTAATTCTGTCTATATGCTGGAGAGATAGTCTCTTAATTTTACAGTTAGATGAATAAAAATTACACATTGATTGTTTGAGAAGAGTCTATGAACATTTAGTAGAATAATTGAAAATATATAACCGTTCTTTATTGTATAGCTATATAGCTTATATAGTTTAAAGGTTTTGAATTATAATATATGTATGATTGATATAAATAATATTTGATGTATGTGTTAAAGTACATTCGCTTTTGAGTGGCGATATTTAAAATCAACTATATATGGTATGAGTAAATACCGTTGATCAGAAAACTGATATTAAAAAATATAAGAATTTATTTTAGAGGACTAAGCATTTAAGACTATTCATAAACTTGATCTTAACTTAATGCACAGTATAAGCAAAATCTTAAACATTCTTTGAAAAGCTAAATTGATACTTTCTATTTAAAAATGTAAACAAAAACTTAAGTACCACTTACGGCATATAAAAAAAATGTTAGGAAGTTAGTTTATAGATATGTAAGGAGATCAGATAATCTGTCCCCATAAAAACCTTTGTTTGTTTTTAAAAAATTCTGATGTCTGCAAAATACTTAAAAATACAAATCCAAGAATATTTATAAACATTTTTTTGAATTTTTTTCAAGCAACTATAAAAATAAATATATATCATAAGTCTGATATGCGAATATAGGGAAATATATGTATAATTTAAAAATTGTAAAATTGCATTTTTAAAATTAATAAATTATAATTAATGAATCAATAAAAAGCAAAGGGTTTTGGTTTCAAGTATGGAAGAATCGGATTATTTTATGAGTAATGCATTTCTTTAAATGTAGATGAAAGTGGAACACCTGAAAACATAAATATTTTTTTAAATATTTTACAAAAAGACACTTTTGTTTTAATTAATGACTAATCCAATATCAGAATATATCTATAATACAATATCATAGAGTATAATACAAAAATGATAATTATATAAAGTCTTTTTTCATAATTAACAATACTTTATGAAATATTATACATAAAAACCAAAACAAAATTTGTTATTAATGAATGACTAATCCTATATACCAATATATGTAAATATGGAATAATATATAAAAGTGATAATTATATAGATAGTTTTTCCATAATTAACAATACTTTATGAAATATAACCGTTTATATATATTCAAATATAATATACTATAAACTTAATATAATTATTATTCATTTAATTATTATTAAATGTTCTATGTATTCCAAAACTTGTCTATTATTTTATATAAATCATTTTTAAGAACTTATCTATTAAAGATTCTAAAAATCAATTTTGACAATTTTAGTCTTAGTGTTAAGTTAGAAAGAAAAAGTAAGTAATCAAATTTCCTCAGTGTACTAAAGAGACTTTTTGATTCACTTTAAGAGCCTATTAGGAGAAACGGATATTTTACAACCAGTCGTAGCTATTATTGATGAGAATGCGTATTTGACCCAGGGAATAGTTCTACCCAGAGAATAGTTTGCAACAATTCCTCATGATTTCTATCTAAAAGAAGTTGGAAATATATTAAAGAAGAGATCAATTTCAAATAACCACAAATCAGTTATACCTACAGATCACTTTTATAGATCTATGTTCATTCTAATTGATAGAACTAATAGTTTACAATAATATCTCATGATTTCTAAATTAAAGCAGCTGGAAATATATTAAAGAAGAGACCTGCCGATCAATTTCAAAGATATATGTTAATTCTAATTGATCGAGATAATTATCTATAAAAATCATATGTGATTTTTTTTTGTGATTTTATATATCTTATAGGAATAGAGTAATATTACAAGGAGTTTAATATTCAGATTAGCTTTACTAGATAGAACGTCGATTTGAACGAATTACACATTTCCAGAAAAACATAAGTTTCAAGTTAATTTACCAACTTCAGTATAATTCAAGAAAAAATTGTAGTGCAAAATATATTAATTAATGAAAAAGTAGTTCGGTTAAAGCGTTGGTATATGAAAATTATTGATTCAAAGTGTGCCTCAAAACTTAAACAATTTTTTTTCATTAATATGTATAATACATAATATTTTAATGTCTAATTTGCGTCTAGCATTCCATAACTCGTAAGCCTTTCAACGTCACATCTAGTAGCTTCTAGAACTAACACTTTCTATAAATCAAATCACATCAAGTATGACTATCGATATGTTCTGGAACTATTCAGACAGTTGTTAATTTGCACAATACCTTCTCTTCAATACTATATAAAAAATGTATTTAATTTATTCTTGAATTATGTTATACTTTATATATATTATTTTAATATTAAAACATAGATTTACCTTAAAAGCGTGCCATTCTTCTTTGAGTACATCAGTAAATGAGACTGCATTTACAAAGGCAACGAGTGCCAATAAAATTAATACTGAACGCATTTTAAAAAATCTGTAAAATAAAAAAATAAATTATTTATTTGTTTTATAATAAAATAGTTATTATTCATAATAATAAAATATGATAACAATTACTTAACAGTTTTGAATAAAAATTCTGTACATCAGAAATTTATTTATTAAACTAATTATGTAGGATATTAATATAATTCAATTAATAAATTTAAATTAATAGATGAATCCCCCTGTCAAGATAGAACTGGTCAAACTGGATAAGAAACATACCAGTCAGCTGCTCTAACTAAACGGTAACCGAGTCAGCACTACAATATCGATGCTGACGGGTCACTGCTCTACTAAAAAGAAACTGCTATGAGATTAAGTATACTCTACACTGAGTTTGGTCTGGATTGTAGTTCTGCAGATGAGGAAGAAACTGCGCTCCACCTCATGTTTGAGTGTCCATAATTGGCTAGATAAAAAATGAAAAATTGTCATCTGCAAAATTAGGGACTTGGTCAAGTTTATAGACTTGGCGGTCTGTTTCACTTTTATTTCAATAGCAGAATCGTGCCTTTCAGGGTTATTTGAGCTTTAAAGACTACTACTACAACCTAACCTATATATTGAGAGCAGAGCAGAATTTCTTTGTTTCTGCATAGCTAAGTTAATATTAAAAATGTACACAATTTTTGAGAGAAAGTTTACATACTGAAAATCATGCCATTTCCAAGAAAACACTCTATAGAATATCGATTCTCAGAGCCTAATATAGTAGTTAGAGAAATCATTACAACGGAAAAATGAAAATGATATAACTATGTAGTATAGTGGAAATATTTACTTAAAGTGGTAAATTTGAATAAAATCTGCCGACAAAGTACTGTACTTCATATATCGTAATCGAACCGAGGAATGTGTCAACAATTTTGCACTACACTGTATAACTAAAATGATTATTTTTTATATGATTGTATTATGTTAGATCACATGAGTTGCAGTACTTCCACAGATCGTTTGAATACAAAATCACATGAAAAAATTGGTCAACCTCCGCTGGTGTTTGTCGATCGTACAAAACACGTTTGAAACGCACGGTTTAGTCCAAGGTAACAGCAATGTTTATTGTTTTTGTAGTAAAAAGCTCAATTCATAAATAAAATTGTGAAATTATTTAAATGAAATAAAATTACACAAAATCAACAAAATTAAATAATTTGTAGCAGTGTGAATAGATCATTAATCTGCTGAGACATGATATGTTGAGAATTTATCTTGAACTTGACTGAGAAAACTTTGCTGAATTATTTATTTTGTTTCATATAAACTTTTATGGATTTTTCTTTTTCTCTATTTTTGAAGGGTGTTAACCTGAACAATAACAACATTTTATTTATTTATTTATTCATTCTCAGCTGACCCATATTTTGAATCTGTCTTCCTCACTGATAAATAATAATTTATTTACGCCTACAAATACATTCTGTGTACAACATATATGACGGTCTATTGTATATATAATTCTGTATATTAGAATTCTTTCTATTGTTCAAAAAAGCTCTATTTTCCGCTTATCTCGATTGTTAAATTATTCGTAACAAATTTAATCGATTTTTATTTAAAAAAACGCAATTTCTGTGTTTTTGCCAATTGTCAGAAAAAAATAAAAATATTATTTTTTATCAATATTATTTGCTTTTATCAGCTGTTTTTTTATGATTTTTTTCTGCTGTATTGTGTATTTTTTTATTTTCTTAAATTTGTTATTATACATATAATATATACTTATTCGCAAATGTAAATTTTAATATATATCAGCATATATGTCTATGTATATATATATATATATAAGCGCCTTATCAAAAATACATTAAAATGTTAAAGAAATTCTTCAGAACAAAAGTAGTACAAATGAGTCAGGTCTGTCGATTATTCCACAGTAAATAATAAACAAATATTATTCTAATAGACTAAGACAATACAAACAGAAAACAGAAAAATATTCGCATTAAACTTTATAAATGATAATTTCAAGCAGGTTCAATGTACTAAAATCTATCAAATGGTTACTCACTTTATAAAATTTAACAGATCCCACCGGATAAGAGATAACTCTAGAAATTAATTTTCTATAATATTAAATAAATAACTTTTATTATGCACTATTATAAAAAGATTTAAAAAGTAATAAACATATATTGAACAGAATTAATTTAGTTAAGTAAGTATTAAGTGGTTTCAAGTACGGCCAGTCTAAGTACCGAAGACACTTGTCGAGTTCGACGATCAATAGCTGTTCGTCACATCTAAAAAGAGCTACAAGAGTAGTTTCATACGGGTTACAGCAACAATAACAAGTAAGTATTTAAAGTGAAAGAACTACGAAACTCCACGCTTAGCTATAAGCACCTTTCAGTTCCAGATTTCTTGTAATTTTATATACATATATATATACTTTTCCGAGAGTACTGAATGCAGATATTCTCTTTTATGGTGTAGTCTAATATAACAATAAATAAAACTTATACTGCAAAAATTATTTTTAAAATATCTATATTTTAAATAATAATTCAATAGTTTGCAAGCTTTTTTCAGAAACCCTTATGTGGGTTTCTAAATGTCATTATACAAGTATCTAGTATACTACACGAATGACTATAAATATCTTAAAAGAATTAATGAAACATATTATACTTGAAAGCTATTGAATATCCTAGTCAAATAAAAAGTCCAGCGCAAGTTTAATAGATTTTAACCCTTCTGTATATATTATTAAATTTCATGAGTTAGATTCTTTCTTTCACTGAACAATGAGAATATTAAAACTCTAATCGAATTTTACAGACTAAGATATTATTTCAACAAAATATGTCTTTCGGAGACCAGCTTTTATCGTTTTTGTGAAAAGGATTTTGAAACTTGGACATGGGCTCATGAACTCAGCAGTAACAGACTTAATCTACATATGAAATTGCTGATATTCAATAAAAGTATAAAGATCAGTTAATCGGAGTCATGATTTGAAGTCTTCATTACGAAATAATAAATGAGTAATAATTTACTTATTAATTAACACGATTTTAAAATATGTTTTTTTTGGAATTGTTCATATAAAGAAAACTAGTGTAGTTTTAGAGTAATTTCTTAGTTTTAGAGTAAATATTAAGATATCAATAATTGAAACCTATAATACTGTAATCTATGTTTAAAGTAACAGTTTTTTTTATTAATAGAAAATCTAAGTTTAAACCAACAGTTTTTTTTTATTTGTAGAAACCTATATTTAAACTAACATTATAATTTTATTAATAGAAATTCCATGGTTAAACTAATAGTATTTTTTTATTAATAGAAAAACTTTGTTTAAACTAATATTTTTTAGTAATAGAAAACCTATGTTTAAACTAAGAATATTTTTTGTATCGGTAGAAAATCTATGATTAAACTCTTTTTTTTTTAAATAGAAAAACTTTTTTAAATTAATAAGACAACATTTTTTTTATTAATACATTGATTTTTATTGGGTTTAGGGAAGTCGAATAAAGAAATAAATGAAATTTTAATAACTAATTAATATTTTATATTTAATAAATACAATAAAATTTAATTTAACCGGACCGGTTTAGGGTCAATTATTTAACAACTCAAATTAATAATAAGCAATACTTACTAAGTTATTGTTAAAATTTTTGTTTTAATAATAACTTAATTTAAAATTTAACAATAATCTAGTAGATCTTACTTATTAATAATTTGAGATGTTAAATAACCGGCCTTAAGTTCGGTTAAATTATTATATGGTGAAAAATAAGGAAACTTATAATACCAGAATAAATTCAGAAAACCACTATTTTGAGTAAAAATACGAATAGTTTAGCTATTACAAAGAATGTTCTTAAGGAGGGATTTTTGAAATTATTTAATTCCGGCTTAAGATAAAATTTAACATCACAAAAACTGATATGTAAATAAACATTATTGTCAATATATTATTAGAAAGAATTTTTGTAAGGAACCATTGTAGCTTATTTCAATATATATTCGGAGTATAAATAAGTGAACTTATTTATAACTATGATTTAAAATAATATGCTCATTATTTAAAAATCTTTTATTTAATATAACTTCGGAATTCATACCAAAGAAAATTAATTCTCGAATTGTGGAGCAAAAATTATATTTATTTTTAAGATAAAGTATAGGGAATATTCCAGAAGTTTTATTTGCGATTTCTTAGCCGTGTCTTAACGGAAGAACAGAATATATATTCTGATTTTACAAATATTTTTTATTAATATATGCAATATATTATATAAATATACAAAATGTTTTGTGAATATTATACATATAAATATTTGAAATAATTAACTAATTAAATAAATGGTTAACTATAAAAATATAAGTTCAAAGCTCATTTGATGCAATTATTTATTTATTATTCTTCTTCAATACTGAAGGTTTATTTGTAAAAATAAACTGGAATGTGACTTATCAGTTTTATAAACAATACTTCATTTATATAAATTTTTCTTCAGAATTATATATATATACATATATATTTTTGGTTTTGTAATTAATATGTATTGACTATTGAGCGGAATGACGAAGTAGATAATTGCTTCACTGAAACTTAGGGCACCCTTTTGTGAACGTATCATATATTTTATTAGTTTTATTTAAACCTTTCCGTAATAATTGCATGTTTAGATGATAGAAACTAATTATTTTTAAAAACTTAATTTCAAAGCTTTTACGCAATTTTGCTTTCATAGAAATAAAATTAAAATAAAAAAAAATATTTCTGGGTAATTCACAATTTGGAGGCAGATATTTCCGTGATATTTGCATATATATACATATGTATGTGTTTATTTATATATATGTACTTATTAAAATTTTTAAAAACAATTCTAAATATATTGTTTATGAAAGCAAATATTTTTTTTTTTGGTTACAATAGCTCAAAGGAAATAAAACATTATTTGGCATTTAATATTCCCTATTCTATCTAATATTATTTATAAGCTTCTTTATTAATTGGTTTTAATTGAAAAAATTGTTTTTGTAATTAAAGTATCTAAAAATATAATAAACATTTTATCACACACGAAAATGATAACGAAAATATGGATTAAAAATAATATTTACTTTTACGCCCGCTAATTTTTTAATTTCAAAAAACACAAATGGCAAAAAATTTTGTGTATCGAAAGCAAAACTAAAAATGAAAGGTTTTAAAAAAAAAACAAATTTCTATTGAATTTCACAATTCTTTTGTTTACAGAATACAAAGCCAAAAGCAAATCCCAAAAATTTCTATATCAATCCATTTGAATAGAAACTCAGCAGAAATTACCAGATAAATCCAAGGCGAATTTTACATCAGACAAATGCGTAGTTAAAGAAAATAGAAAACGATGACAACAAAGAAATTTGTTGCATCAGGTAAATGAATTAATTACGAAAGTCGCATGATAAGTTCTAAATAATTATTGTTTAATTTAAAATAATAAAAATTTTAAGTGTTGATAGAAAAAAATTAAATATATTAATAATTATTATTTCTCTTACCGTCTCTCTACTATTAAATCAAAATAAATTCGCTTTGTCACTTTTGCTCTTTACACTTAACTGAATTAATTAATATTAGCACTTAAATGTTTAATAATCTCGTCTTCAAATCACAATAACTTCACCACTCCAACGTATGGCCAATTCCCAATTAAAATCTGAAATGTAACTCGCGCGGAAGAAAACCTTTTTTCGCTTCTTTTTTTTTTATTTTTCTTTGTTCTTATTTATGTTTTGCTTTATTCGCTACTTTGTTGTACAACAGCTGATTGCATAGGGCGAATGATATAAAATATTTTTATGATTTCAAATTATGAAACTTCATTAATAATCGTCATAAATTTATTTGGTAATTTCTTGATATCATATTGAGATATAAAATAACAGTAGGAATTACAAAATTAATTCAATATCTACTTTATTACACAAATCATAATAAATTTTTATAACTATCATAAAATCATAAATGATTGAAAATGACTAATACAAAAATTATATATATTTATTTTTATTTATTTTTTATTTATGTATATTAATATATAATAATAGAAAAAGAATAAAAAATAATTAAACAATCATCATTTCTATTCGAACCCTTCTAACTTTTAAACAATAATTAAAAAAAAAATACTTAAGTTATAATGACTTAATAAAATAATAAAAATCCGCGATAAATCGTTCGTGCGACAGTTTTTTCATCATACTAAATTTTTATAACTATTAAATAAAAATGTGTAAAATTATAATAGATAAGTTGCTGCAATATGTTATAAAATATATATATCTAAAGTACCTTCTCTTTTTAAACTTATGACGTTTTTGATTTGTAAATCTGAATTCAATTTAGTTTTAATCTAGATTTGTCAAATTTTGTTGCTCAATCGAACAATTTTAAAGTAATCTAAAATTTTTGTAGTCTTGTTAGTAAATAAATCATTAATATGTTCACACTAACTTCATTTTCTGTGTAGTTTAACGCAGCATTTATCAAATAATCTTGAAAACTATATTTACATCTACATTTGCAATCAATTTTTTTTTTGATTTTTATTTTTTTTAAACAATAATTAAATATAGAAACAAACAAATTGAGTACATATGGAAACATGCCACACTATTTTATCTACCAATTCATTTAAAACAGTTGTTAGTTTTAGGGTAATTTTGCTAATCAGGCAAAATATCTAGAGTGTTATAAACTTATCTCGAGTGTTATACATAAATCTCAAGTGTTATACAGATTTATCAACCGAAAATGAATATTTAACTAAAAGTGAAAGAAAAAGTTACCCAAGATGTGTCAATTGAAAATGTCATTTAAAAGTTGATACAGTGCTCTAAACCGGCAATTAACAGAATAAAACAGTCATAAACGAAACTTTCCAACGATATTTAATCGTCATTATATCAAATGAAAAATAATGGGAGTAGAAATATTATGAATTGTTGCAGAGAAAATATATAAATAAAAAATATATAAATAAATATATAAACAAGATTTATTACAATTAAAACGCAGGGTTGTATTTGAATTTTGTATTTGTATATTTAATGAAATAATATAGTATTAGTTTGAGTTCAGAATGCAATTAAAATAAACATGTTTTTTAATATATTAATTATATGAAATATCAGCGCTAAATATAAGCAATAAATAAGAGAAATAACTTTAATGTGAATAATAGATTAATAAATTTAGCAGAAATATGCATATAACAAATTATTTTCTTACACATTACTTTTAAACGTATGTTTGTAACTAGTATTTATTTCACTATTTGGCGAATTAAAGTTTTAGTTAATCATATATCACTGTAACTAATTTTAAATAGATTTTTTATATTAATTATAAGCTTGCATTTAAAATGCATTAATATTTTTTTTTTGAATTTGTTGAAATTTTTATATTTTTGTAATTTGTAATTTGTATATTTTTGTATAATTTGTATTAATATTAAAGTAAATTTTTAAATATTTTATACTCAATTAATTTATAAAAGAGAATTTTGAGAAAACTTCAAGTTTTCACTTTAGTAATTGCAAAAATTATTTATTTATTATTTTTAAAATTTATTATTTTTGCGTTTGCTACGAAAACTTACGTCTGAGAGCTTTTAATTCTCTTATAAATTTCTTAAACTAAAAAGAGAATATCTCTGACACCAAATTTTTTGAATTAAACAGTTGTGCTTTCATGAATATATTTTTTGTTGTCTTGTTTTAGTAACCAAAAGTAGTGTTGCGTTGTGCCGTTTTAAAATAGCAATAGCACTTAAACTTAAAAAATAAATTCATCTTTATTTAAATGTAATAAGTTACTACAAATAATATGCGTGTATAAATATAATAGCATATGATATTTGAACAATATTGAATAGTTTGATTGTATAAAGAATATTGAATCGAACATAAAACAATTGATTGTTTAACTATTATTAAGCTATAGCAAATAAAATAGTAGTAAAAGTTGTTACAAGCAACCCAGACAATTTAAATATTGATTGCTCGCGTTGCCAGCATACACTTTCGTACCATCACGTAACGTCCTTGCTGGATAGTTTCAGCCGTCTTTCTGCTGTTGTCATCCAATAAACTTTTTACTTCGTTGTCCGGGATCGAACTTAACAGGAGTCTCTTACGTAAAAAATTATATCAAATAACTTTAAAACAGAAAAAATAGTGTAAATATAATTTTTAATGTATATTTAAAAATTGTTGCTTTTAATTCAAATATATATAGAGCAGTTATTATAAGTGTTGAATAGATAATTTAACGGTATTACGTAAATAATGCAAAAAATTAATGTACAAACGTGTAAATTCGTGTAATCAAAAATGAATTTTTTTTGTATTTAAGATGTAAACCGTGTCGTTATTTTTTAAAGATAAAATATTTTAAGGATTAAGCTAATTTGTTTGTGCAAAAAAAAAAATTAGATTAAATATAAAAACAATAACATTTGCAGTTGAATTTGTGTCAAACATTTAATCGATATTTGAATTGCTTGTGGCAGACCAACTTTTTAGCCGTTTTCACTAATTGACTGTTATTACATAAGTTGCACTTATAGTTTTTAAAGGATTCTAGATAAAAGATATATAGTTAGTTTTAAATATTAGTGTAAACTGCTTTAATTGAATACACAATTAGAATATTTATAAACGAAGTGCTATAAAAACAATTAAAGATTTATTTTTGCAAATTTTTGTAAAAATATTGTGAAAATAGTTAGTAATCACACTTAAGGAAATTTCTTTTATTCAAACAGTGATATAATATATAAAATAAAAATGCTATTTCTTTATTAACTATAGTAGCTTCAATAACTTCCGTTAAAGTAAGCTTTTACTGCTAAGTGTAATTGCTGCACCATTGTTGGATTGTTTGATTCATGAAAGAATAAAAATATCCTGTCACATTCATGGCAGAAGGAAAACATAAAAAGAATCAAAAGCTTTTGATTAGTTTTGCGGTTTTTGTTTTGCATGCACTGACACACAAATGCAGTATAAAATCAATTTTTGATTTGTACATTTGTTTGTTTGGTATCGGGTATCGAATTGTACCGTACAAAAAAAGCAATTGCAATAACAGAAACCGTTTTAATCCAATTAGTTTTGTACCTCTTTTCTGCTAACACGCATCGCCATATTTTCTCTTTCTAATTAGGTCGCCCCCACTTTGTCCTCAAAATCCACTATTATACGCTGTCGTACACTTATTTCTCTTTTAATGGCGGTATGGCGGTGTGCTTAAGAGCATTGCCACATGGAAAAAAAGAACAAGAGAGCATGGAAACAATTGTGTGTGAAGCTTATACAAGCTATGCGTTGCTCCACATTCAATCCATTATTTCTGCCATTTGCAGCAGTTAAACACATTTGTTTTCAAACTTCAAACGAAACGAATTTTTTGTTTTAGTTTTTTGCATGTTTTGCTCTAGTCATAACGTAAGAAAGCATAAATTTTATAGTGAATATGACGTGCTATAACCATTGACGGCATTAGCAGTTCTAAATTTGTTTCAAAAATTAAAATAAATATTCTTTTTATAGTTTATAATTTGCGTCTTTTTAAATACTGTTTCAAAAAATTTTATTTCAAATACAGACATAAAATTATTTATATAATTTTTCTATAGTATATGGCAAATCAAAAATACATTGTATAAATTTATTTATTAACGTGTCATTTTTGATAAATGCAATTTTATTTTAGTCAAGTGTAACTAGAATGTCGGTATAACAACGAAAGATACTGAATCGAGTGTGTGTGAGCATTGATCGTTACATCGGAACAATTGTTTTATACTTCGTTTTGCACATTTTGGCTATTTTCTGTAAAATAGTTACTATCTGTTTGTGTTCGTACGCTAACTTCGAGTTAATAACAGAATGTCGCCTCTTGCTGAAAGGACTCTGCTGTTAGTTGGTGTTCTGTGCTGTTTACAAGGTAAGTGTGTCGCTGTACATAGCATACAAAATGCTATGTGCAGCAACTGAACTTAGTACACTGTTAAATAGATAAAATAAGGCAAAAAGAAAACTCATACACAAATGAGATTCTCAAATGAGGTCAGAAGTACTTTTCCGTGCAACTGTTGCAACTATTATTTATTATCTGTGCATCGAAATTAACAAGGTGAAATATTGTTTAGTCGGCTGCATAAATAGCTATAGTATGACGTAAACAACGCTGCTTATTTCAAGATTTTAAACATTTTCCTTATCGATTATTCGCATCAAAAATTTGTTTAATTGTTTTTGTTTAAAAATTAATTAAATTATTTGTGCAAAAATAAAACGGAAAAAATCAAATTTAATATTAAATCTCATAAAATATGTAAAAAAGTAGCATATATAAAAACAATAAGAAATTTAAATATAAGATAAGAATTATGTTTTTAACAATTACAGTTATAATTTTATATACATTAAAATTGTTAAAGTAGAAGTTTTCTTAAAAACTTTAAAAAAAAATTATTAAACTTAAAATGAATATCAATATAAATTATATTACCCAAACCAAATTGATGAAATAATTTCTATAAATAACACACAAATAGCAAATAAAAGCGAAAGATTGTTGCCATACGGTGAATTTGAAAAAAAATTAATTTAAAATAAAAAAAAGAATAATAAATAATAATTCTAAAGATACAAATGA